TAAATTCAATTTTAATTAGAATAGAATGTTTATTTCCAAAATGTACAACATAGTATACAAAAAAAAAAGCTTGCAAAAGCTATATGGAAAAAAGTTTAAATCCAATTTTTATCATACAATAAAAATTATTAAATTGAGTTTGGCTTTACATAAAGTAAGCAACAAGTTTACAGTAGGTACAAAGAAATGTAAAATACAAGTCAAATTGACAACACACAAACACTTTTTAAAAAAATTAACAATAAGGAAATATACAGTAGGTAGCCAGTAATAAATATAAACATTTTGGCAGTAGATGAAATTTCTAAACTAAAATGGTTAGGGGTTCATTAATGCAAAATTTAGAATGTATGGTTAAAAAATTCGTCTATATTATAAAAAGTGTGAGTATGTAGCAGATCTTTAAGCTGATTTTTGTAAATATTTTCATTAGGACTGTTAAGCAACTCACGAGGTAAGTTGTTTAAAATTTTTATGCCCATGTAACTGGGACATCTTCTATTTACTTCTAAAGTAAAGTTTGGCGGCAGAAAAGCATCATTACCTCTTGTGGAGTAGGTGTGAATGTCTGGGTGCATTGTCAAGTTTTCCCTTTCATTAAACATTAAAATTGTAGTCCTGTAGATGTAAAGGTTTGTCAAAGTGAAAATTTTGTTATCTTTAAAATAGGGTCTACAAGATTGCAACCTTCCAAGAGAAAATATGGCACGAATGGCTCGTTTTTGGAGAAGAAAGGTGTCTTTTGCCCCAACAGAAATGCCCCAGAATTCTACTCCATATTGTAAAATGCTGTAAAAATATGCATAGTAGACAGTCATTGCTACTTCCCTGCCAATATTCTGTTTTGCAGTTCTAATAGTGTAGATTGCACTACTCAAAGATTTGTTCAGTGAGGAGGTATGGTTTTTTCAGTTCAGTGCGTTATCCATGTATACTCCAAGAAATTTAAGATGTTGTTGAGAAGTGAATTGAGTTTTTCAAATATGCTGTGATAACCATAACATTATGGCACACACAATTAATTCATTATAAGCACTTATTTAACTTCTCAACTTGTCTGTTGAAGGCGGCTCTACAAGATTGGGACCTGAAAGTTTGGATTTTTTTTATTCGCTTTCGGAGTGTCATCATCAACTTTCTATTTTTGAATACTGACTTAGGATTTTTATTTGATTTCTCAATTGAAAAAAAAAAAAAAACATGTAAATGATGTTTATTCAAAAAAGGGTGAGGTGGAACGCCGAGTCTGTTTTTAGGCGCAATTTTTCCAATAGGGCGGCTTGAGCAGGAAATATACGAGGAGGAAATTAAAAATTTGGAACGAACACGTCTAACCTATAAAATTTTTCAAACATCCGAAAAACTTTCCAGGTAAAACTACCAAATTACTTTACTTTTCACCATTTTTTGTGCAAAGTTAAGGGAAAATCTTAATATCTCAAAATATTAATCAGATAGATACGGCAAATATGATATTTTCTGAAAGAGGACATTTTCAACTTTTCGATAGGAAAATAATATATTGTATTGTATTTGAAAAACTTAATTGAAATGGAATTTAACTCGGAATTTAAAATTGACATGTTTAGACAAATACTTTGGACACCCTGTATACTTAAATCGAAAAATGAAGATAGTTTAGGAGCAACTAAGGTAACATTAGATTACATGTAAATTTTGAAGAGAAATTAATTTACAGTGGCGGAGGAGAAATTAATTTACAGTGGCGGAGATATGACAATTTTAAAAAAGTTTGTTTTGTTCTTTTTTTTCTTCAAAAAATCATAACTTGGCAACGCTAAATTCAAGGCAAATACGATTTTAAAGTTGAAGACACAGCTCATAGAGGCTTCATTTGCCACATAAAAACATACAGTATTCCATTTGAAATAAACATAAAATTTGTGATTACTCTTTCTTGAGACACCTTGTATACTTGAAAATAATTTTGGGTTATAGCAGAGATGAAACGCTAAAACTTTTATACAGAACATTTTTCCATAAGTTGCACGGTTTGGCTACTATTGACCGAGGCGCGCTTGTTGGTGTGATGCAAATTTGCTTTGTTTTAATGTAAATAAAACCAGCATTGAATGATGAAACTGTTGAAAATAAACTCCTTACAACATTTTTAGGTCTGATCATAGACAATAAACTTAAATTTGAGGACCATATAAGGGCACTAAGTAAAAGGTTGTCTGCTGGTTGCTTTGCAACGAATAGTTTCCAACGAGCTTAGTTGTTCTACCGCAAAAAATGGTTTATCACTCACTATTTGAATCTCTTGTAAGATATGGTAGGTATAGCTTTTTGGGGATTTACAGGCAATAGTTTATCTCGGTATTTGTTTTACAAAAAACGGCAATTCGTTATTTGTGTAAAGTTGCAGGGTCGTGAACATTGTCAACCGTTATTTATTAGGGAAAAAATTTTAACTGTACAATGTCTATTTGTTTTAAAAACTGTGTGTCTTGTGCACAAGAAATATTCACGTTCGGAAACTCGGGATATTGGGTACAACATTAGAGTAAGTTCAAACACTAATATAGGCTTATCTATACCAAAGTCTGCTTTAGCCAAACACTCAATATTCCATGAGAGCAAAAAAATTTTTAACCATCTAAGTAAGGAACTTAAAACCATCAGAAACTACAAACTATTTTATATAAGTGTTGAGGATATTTTGTTGTAAAGGGCTTACTACAGCTTGGAGGACTTCTATAGTGACACTGTATGACTATACAGCCTTTTTTGTTTTTGAGTACTTTTGTGTTTTATCAATCAACGCTTTTATTTACATTTTATCATTTTAGTATAGTTTTAAGTATTTGTTATATTGCTTTGGATCACTGTCCTATTTGTCAAATTGTTTATAACTTGTTTGTATTTACACATTGTTGTACTATTGGTGATTTATTATTTTTCTGTTTTACTTTTAGGTTAATGCTTTGTCAATAGAATATTTTTTCTTGGATAATAAAGTATGATTGACTATGACTATCAGAATAAGGGTTGGTGTTCTGTTTGCCGATGATCCTGCTATAATTGTCTGGGGGGGGGGGGGGGTAACTGGGAGAATACCAAGAGAAAAGCAGAATGTGTGCTATAAAAAATAAAGGCATGGCTGGATGACAGTCTACTCTCACTAAATGTTGAGAAAACAAAATTTCTTGTCTTTTCACTCTCCTCACAAACATCGCCTACTTATCAAAGTATAAAACTACATGAAAATGGATGTATCTTGAATCACAACTGTACATAGCATTGTAGCATTATGCTTTTTAAGAACAAAAGATGATGAAGGTACCCCTCTCGGTAACCCTTAACTAAACATACTATATGTCAGTTTCACATATACTGGTTAGGTCCAAAGCTTTTCAATAATCTCCCTATTAATATTGGAGATAGACCTAGACCATATTAATAGATGTAAGAAAGAAATAAACTTGGAAATAAGGCTGTGGATACTCCAGCCAGAACAATAATAGATCTTATTATACTATTTGAAAAATTACCAACTAGGTGGGAAAATTAAACAGAGAAAAATATAATAGAGAATAGTTTCAAACATTATCTAACTTATTCTTATATTCTTATTGGTATATTTACAGAACTGCCTGAATCATGATTTTTTTTGTTTTTGCTATTATTGTTTTTTTATTTTAGTTTTTTGTTATTCTGCTATAGGCTCAGTTAGAATTTATAATGAAAGAGATAGACCCTGAGATAGGGCCTGTTTAGTGGAGTCATTTTTTTTTTGTCTGGCATTTTGAGGGATGAATGTGACTAGTTAGCTCGAGAGTTAGCTGATGAGAATATAAGTGGTTTTAATGCCTGGCTCCTGTTCGAAATGTCCACAGAAAGTTTCGCCAGAAAACTCGATTTCGAACTGTGATTACCATCTGGCGATTTTTCAGTGATATTTTCACAACAAAACCTTTCATTCTTTCGATTGCCAGACAAAAAGTAAATGCCGAAGGTTCTGTTCTTTTCTCTTGGAAGTTGACACTCATCCCCATTGTTTCAGCTATTGAAAAGCATCTGATATTTTTCATGGGTGAATTATTTATCAATGTCAATCTTTTATTTAAAAGCCAGAAAATTTCGGATCATTAAAAAAAAATTCTTCATGTAAATCAATTTTTTTCTTCTGCAAATTTTCGAACGGGAGGCCGGCATTAAAATCACCCATATTCTCATCAGCTTAGTAGCCACATTCAGCCCCCAAAATGCCAGACAAAAAAAAATGACTCCACTAAACAGCCCCTATCTCACAGTCTAAGAGTGCACAGAGAGAACTTGAAGTATCATTGTGCACTTAGGTAGCATCTCAACTTGTATACTTTTGTTACTATTAGTGTCAGATTATTAGAAATTTATTGGTCACAAAATAAGGTGTCCCTGAAGTATTCTATGCCCTGAAGGTTGATATCAGTTACACATACATGTGGTGCAAATGGCATCTTGCGACCAATAGGCGGCATTGTTTATGTTTCAAAGTTGACAATATCCTTATCTATCTTGGGAAAAAATAAACTGTACATTTTATTGGAGATTTTATTGAATGATGTAAAAAAATTTGCATCTTGCATCTTTCTGATCCGGAGTTTTACAGGGATTGAAGCTCATTTTCATTTACTTATAGAAGTGTACACTTTGTTTCACGAGGGTTTTTACTTTCAACATACTTTGCCTTCCTCTTTTAACAAAAATTGAATGCGTCATATATGAATTATTCTATGACAACCCGGTCACTTTTTTTTTTTCAAGTTATGACATTTTCGATGTATAGGCATTTGGGAAATGCATTTTTTCTTCTATAAAATGAAAAAAAAAACTCTATTTTCAGAAGTTCTGTTATTTATCCCCCCCAAGGTTGCTGGCTTTTGTGTTTTGTACAGTTTGTTGGAGCTTGATAGTCCCATTTAAATACATTTTTAAAACTACTGATTTGCACAACTTAATACTAAACAAAGCTTATAAACTAGAGGTTCACTTACTAGTAGAATTATTATTCAAAAGTTTACATAAGAGGCACGTTTTATCAGTCAGATTCAATCTCTCATTTTGGCTTAAACTACGGAATGACAATGGCCAGTTTTTTTCTAGAGACGGACTACCGCGTCGAAATAGCTGAAACATTATGGTTTTAGTCACTAATAATCGTTTTTTCTTATATTTTTTCGAAAAATTGTTTTAGGTTTGTTTTGATTTGATTTGACGCCATGTTGTTTTGAAAAACCTAACCTCAATTTTGCTGCTTCTTCTTTTTTTCAGCATATCCGAATTGGCTGAACAACACAACGATGATGGAATCAATAGGGCAATCCAAACAAAATGGCGGTCAATGCCAAAAAATTGGCGCCATAAATTTAATTTTAAACAAGCATGACATTTTTCATCAAAAAAACTGTTTTTCGTGTATTTTGTGATGTTTTAAGATGATTTTCAAGTGCTTAGAAGGATAATTTTCGTATTTTAAGATGCAAAGTTCTTAGTTTAAGAAATTATTAGTGGAAAACCCGGATGTTTGCAAATGCAAAAATTATGTTTTCTCTGTGACAAACCTTCACCTATTAAACATGTATTTAATATGCAACTCAATAAAACGTATTGTTCGTCGATTTTTATCTAACACGTTCCGTATGAGGAGCGAGGAGGTGAAGTATATGGCAAAAACAAGTGTGATGTCAGGTGACCATTGGCGTTCTAATGTAGGGTGTCACCAGCTCACATTCCTTCCGAGTATCAGATTAAAATCGACGGACTTTAGGTACTATCCAGGATTTGTTTCCTGTTTAGTTTTTTCTCAACCAAATCCTGATGTTTATTTTATTTGTCTGCTATTCAAGGTATCGACACAGGACACAAGTTGACAAGCGTCTGCGGATCACACGGAGGCAACGCCACGAATATGGTTGGAAGTGTACGAACGAAAATTTAAAATTTGGCACGAAGCGACAAACGGCGGTTCACTAGCATTTTTGTTTACCTTCTCTTTATTTATTTGACACAAAATTATTATTTATAATTCGATAGTTTGTCTTATTATCAATGACATGAGAGGGAGTTTCGAGAAAGTCTCACCTCCCCAAGAATTTAACATTTAATAATAAGGAAGACTTTAATGAGTAGAAAAGAAAATTAGAGCAAGATACCATCAGAGCACAGTTTATAAAATATAGAACTGTTAAGAGGAAAAATGGTACAATAATTATTTATTTTATTTATCGTCGAGATGGAAATTGACATAAACGCATTAAAACATTACGTAGGTATCACCGTATCACGCTCACATAAACAGGCTTTATTGAATATTGACTTATTATTTAATAGCCTCGCTCGCAAGCTCGCTCGGTCATAAAATTATTCGTACAATAAAGCCTTTCTTTATTGTACTTGATTTTAAATGCTATTTATATAAATAGCTATTATTCAACAATCTAGATTAAATACTGTCTTTCAAAATCTTACAAAAACAGCTTGGTTGTGATACAGCCTACAAATCAACTGTGAAGGGCGAAGGCGAAGGGCCATGTATACTTATCAATTATTTTTTTGTACCCGGGTCCCGCTTGATACCCCATCCCGAAAAAATTAATTCTCATTAGTCTTTCTAAAATTTTTAGTTAAATATCGATATTTCACGAAATGGAAATTGCAAAATAATCGTAGAATATAACAATAATATTCATCAGGAATCAGGATTCAGGACAAGGAGGCGGAGGCGTCAAAAAACAAGCAGCAAAAACGTTATGGGCGCTGTATTCGTGGCGTTGCCTCCCTGTGATCCGCAGACGCTTGTCACAAGTTGATGTGGCAGTGTTGCCAATTAGCGTGTAATTACACGAAATGCGTGTATTTTGATTAGCTTGCGTGTATTTTTCGAACATAAACAAAAAGCGTGTATTTTGCGTGTAATTTGAAAATTTTGACATTCTCTTTATTTTTGTTCTGTTTCACGGCTTTCAAATCTAAAGCCACCGCCCCATTGTGACATAGATAGGACTTGACGTTTCCTCTTCCAATGGCTCCTTGCATTCCCCACCATTATTTTTTGTTTGTAAAATGATCTGTCAAGTGACTACTCTTATGGCTAAGCTCAAAACCAAAGTCGTTTTCTCGCATCCACTTTTTTCAAAACAGGTTTGAACCAATGTCAAAAAAGTGGACGCGAGAAAACGGCTCAAGATTTCAGGAAACTAAAATACACACTACTTAGGATTGCTTATCGGCCTCGTTTATGGAAATGGGTTGCCTGGATAACTCTATGACGTCATCTGGGGTGCCCTAACATAATGCAAATGTTCATAAGGCATCCCAGATTCGGCATCAAGTTACCCATTACCAGAAAACCTTGGGAACCTCGTCAAGACGAGAAACGACACGGTGCCTACGTCATCACTGGTGTTTTGCTATGGTAGGAGCTCGGATTTGAACTACACAGGCCTTATGAGGATAGCCTATCCTGTAGTAGTAGTGTGTATGATCCTTGCAGGAAACTGAGGTCCGAAAGTATCCAGTTCTCCAGAAACCAAAGTAAAATAATTAGTAATTTGATTACTTTAGGGTCGCGTTTTTGTCGTTGCCACATCTTTATTTTTGGTTAAGAAGCTATAAGCTATGATCAGGAGCATTAACCCTCAGATTTGACTAGATTTGACCCATTTCCCAAAATCATTATTCACAAAAAAAATTATACTTGCTTCTTGATTTTGCAAAATAGGTACCAAAGTCGTGTGTAAAAATCGTGTAATTGTGAGACTGAAAGCGTGTAAAAACGTGTAATTTGACCAGCATATCGTGTAATTTCAAAAAATCAGATTGGCAAAACTGTGATGTGGAGGATAATAAATGGCTTGGATCCATACACCATACACCGTTTATGTAGAGAGAGACTTTTTGGTTTTTTAATATGGATTTCTTCAAATTTTTTCTCTTTTGCTACAATCCATGTCCCATGAAACGCTAAGCTAACAAAGTACAGACAAATCGTTTTTCTCCATTAAAAACCTGGGTTTTGTCTGTCCAGGAACGGCATGAAACGAGACTTTCTCGCGATTAGAACGGCTCCCACTAAGTACAATACATAACGTATGCATTTTCCAAAAAATTAACACTTTACAGACTTTAGACAAATTAAAAATCGCAATAAAACGGCATTTTTTTTTAAATAAAAAGGCATTGGCCTTCATTTTGAATTTCTTTTTGACAGGTCGTTGCTTGCCCTCTTTGGTAGCTAATGCCACGAAACTGAAAAAAGTGAAAAACAACACGTATATGACGTGCGTCATATTTAATTTAATAATTATTTAGATTTTTTTAAATAATACAAAACTCGGGTGAAACTCTTTTTTTTCTCCTTTAATTACGATGGTCGTTAGTGAAAAACCTTCAAAAAATGAAGTCGAAGCACCTAAAAACGAGCCCATCCCATTGGCACCCATCACCTTAGAAAGTGAGTACTCATTTTTAACACCCATCTGTTTACATACAAACTCCATATACCCCATTTTCAGTATTGAAATTGATAAAAGACGCCCAACAACAGCACGGTTTGAGGCACAGCGACTACCAGAGGTACAGGGGCTACTGCTCCAGGCGTATCGGTAGGCTAAGAAAAGTTTTAAAAATCCCCCAAGGGGACAGGAGGCACTTCAAGAAACGAGATGTGACCGAGAGTCACGTTTTGAGCCCCAAGGCTGACGAGAGGTACCTCCAACTGCCTCTGATGTTGGCCGAAAGGTGTTGGTCTTATGCTATGCAATTGAGGCAGGAATCTAATACTGAGCCTAGGAAGAAGTTTCACTTGGTTCAGAAGTTGAGGAAGGCTTGCGTGTATGCTTTGCAATTAGATGAACTTTGCAAGGTAAAGAATCAAAATAACTACAGTAGACTCTTGATTATCTGAGCTAGCGTGAGCTGTACTGTAGCTTGGATAATCCTGATTTTTTACATGTATTTAATATGCAACTCATTTAAACATACAAACACAAATACATATGTGTACGTATGCAGATAGAAATATAATATCACAGTTTGTGCTTTCCCCTACAGTGGCGGCTCGTCAGAGGAGGCAGGGGATTTAGTTTAGTTTAGTTTAGTTTATTTTATTGACATACTATGCCATTTACATGCTGGCCGTAAATCGCCGCTGGACTTCTCAGAGACTCGATCTTACATTTTTGAATAGCAGTGCCTCTGCTGTGGATGTTGTCGGTTGTAGGATAAACTTTAATTCTTTTGTCGTTTATTTAATACTTGTGTATATCCCACCACACAGTGCAGCTGATTTGGAGGAATTTGTGGACTGCATACTGACTGTAAATGATTTGTTTGATAGCAATTTAATTATTTTGGGAGATTTTAACATACCTAATTATGTGAGCAATAATAATATCGATCCCAAATGTAACAAAATTTATAATTTGGCAAATATTTTGAATGTGAAACAAGCAAATAGTGTTACTAATGTAAATAATCGATTGCTGGATTTAGTATTTTCAAATATAGCTTGCGACATAGTACGTTACGGTGATGCACCTTTAGTCTATGAGGACACTCATCATCCATCTCTTTTCATAACTTTCAATGCTAGGCATCCATCGATTAATAATTTTCCTATTAATAAAAATAGTCCTAGGGAGTTCAACTTCAGGAAAGCCGATATTCGGCGTTTATATAACTTGATGCTGGAAACTGACTGGTTACCAGTACTTGAATGTACAGATGTCAACACTTGCTGTGTAACACTTAACCAAATAATTGGGAACATATTTGAATCTTGCGTTCCGTCAAAGGTCAAACGCCGCCGTCGCTTCCCGCCTTGGTTCTCGAGCGATTTAATAAAAAAATATATACAAAAAAGAGAAAGCACATAAAAATTATAAACAACATAAAACGCAGTTTTACTACCAAAGACTTTGTGCGCTTAGACGTCTTATTCATACTCAAAGTGACCTTGCATACAGAGAGTATATAAGAAACACTGAAATGAACCTCTGACCCTTCAGCCTTTTGGACGTTTATAAAAAGTAAAAAGGGACATACTGGCATTCCTGGTAACTTGAGGGACGACAACAGTGAGTATGCGGATCCTCAGAGCATTGTTGATGCGTTTGCAAATTATTTTAGAGGCGTATACATTAATTCTTCTCCTAACAATGAGACTGAATCCGCCATGCTAAACTCGAATATAATAAATATACATTCAATAACTTTTCAGGACATTATAGCTGCCAGTAAAAGGCTGAAGGATAAGTTGACATCCGGTGTTGATGGAATACCCAGCTTCATAGTGAAAGACTGCATTGGTGTCCTTTCTGCTCCACTTATGCATGTTTTCAACTTAATTGTTGTTATAGGTATTTTTCCAGATACCTGGAAAACGGCAAAAATTATACCTGTTTTCAAGAAGGGCGACAACACAATAATAAAAAATTATAGACCCATCTCAATCCTTTGTAACTTTTCTAAGGTATTTGAGATTATTATTTACAACAAACTGTATCCTAAGGTTAGAAAAGAAAAAGAAAGATTATGTAATTCTGGTAGCGGGTGTGAACAATCTGGATGTAAGATGCAGAGATTACGTCGTGCTTGCAAATAAATGCTTTCAAACCAATTTACTTTTATGCTCTATTCCGTTAAAAAGCGATCTATCAAGTAAAGTAAATATTTTGTCTCATATAAACAAAAAAATCCAGTACGTAGCGGAACGATTGAAACAATATTCTGCCAATATAGACATATTAGTAGATCACTCCAGTGATTATCTCGTTGGCGATTTCACTGAGCAGGGAATATATCTGAGTAGATATGGTCTTGATAGATTTTCAAGTAGAATAAAAGAAGGAATAGATAATTTTGGTCTTCATAGGAATACAAATTTGAAATTTATAGAGTTTAATAATGAAGAACCTGAAGTAACTATAAATTTGACTACTTGTGGGACCGATCAGCAGTCTGAGCGGGCTTTTTTATAGATAGATTTGCACGACCAATTTTGCGTCCTTGTCCCAGGTCGCCTGTGAGACACTGGACTTTAGGGGTCAATTGGATGTCATTTATACAGACTTCCAGAAGGCTTTTGATCAAATTGACCTTTATATACTGCTTCGTAAACTCTAGAACTTTGGCGTGTCGCAATCACTCTTACTAATGTTAAAATCTTATCTATTTGGACGCACTCAGTTTGTTGAATATGAGCATTTCCGGTCATCGCCATATGTCGTCTCTTCGGGAGTGCCACCGGGATCCAATTTGGGACCCCTGCTTTTCCTAATCTTCATAGACGATCTTCTCGATGCTATTAAGTGTCCGAGGCTGGCATATGCCGATGATTTGAAATTGTTTAAGAGAATTGATGCCACATCAGACTGTGACTATCTTCAACAGGATTTGTCTTTATTATATGGATGGTGTCTTAATAACAGACTTGTACTAAATGTATCAAAATGTTTTGTTGTTAGTTTTGGTCGCAAGAATAATCCATTGATTTATGAGTATGCTTTGGATGGTGAGGCGTTGGGAAGGCCTGAGGATGCCATTCGAGACCTGGGCATTTTGTTCGACTGTAAACTTACATTTATACCTCAAATTGCTAAGCTTATCCCAGTTTGCTCTGGGTCACTTGGTTTTCTCATTAGAAACTGTAAATATTTTTCGGACATACCCACTGCCACTATCATATTATTGTATAGCGCGTTCATTAGATTGAGGCTGGAATATGCCGCGGTAATTTGGAACCCTATTTATAACTGCCATATACAGGCCATTGAGTAGTTGCAAAGACGTTTTTTGAAGTACCTAGCTTTTAAAGAGGATGGTGTGTACCCCCCGAGAGGTTGCGATCACAGACTGCTCCTACAAAGATTCAATTTGCCATCTTTAATGACAAGAAGGAAAAGTCAGAGCCTCAAATTATTGTATGGTCTCACTCATAATACAACCGATTGCCCGTTTCTTCTTGGGGAGTTGCCATTCCGTGTTCCTCGCCCCGAGTCTCGGCATGCTTCAGCTTTCTATCTCAGCGCAGCAAGATCCAATATCCTTATGCAGTGTCCGATATATTTCATGTGTACAGTCTTCGATTCACTGTCTCATCAATGTGGTATACATGCTGACACGCTGAATAGTATTATTGAGTCTCTCTTACGTGTAGAGTGATTGATTTTTTGGTTCTGTTGATGTTATTATTGCTAATGGTGCTGCTGCTTATATTATTTTGGTCGTATTGTTAGTATTCCCAATGACGCTTTTACTGATATTGCTATTGTTATAATTAGTGTTTTAATTTATTATAATTGAAGACCCTGATGCAAGAAGGGGATAAGTAACAATATGTTAATTTTCCAGGAGAAGCAAAAAAAGTTTTTTTTTCAAAATTAAATTTTATGTTGATCATAAAGAATGGCCAAACTAGTACAACAGCTATATATGATTTAAACAGCATTTGACAGCCAAATAAGAATGCTATTAAGCAAAAAAAAGTTGTGGTGCAATAATGGGATAAGTTTAAAACTTTTTATAATGTAATTTACAGCAAGTGCAAGAAGGGGATAAGTTACATTTAAACCATTTGCAGCAAAAAAGTAATTATTATTCAATGTGTATCAACCTCAGATGAATAAAAACTGAAGTAATATGCTAATAATTTTAACATAAAGTCAAATGTTTCTTATGAGAATAGCCAACTATCTCAAAAATACATAGTTTTAAAGAAATAAAAATAGTGTGATCAATCAATCAGACTCAAAATCACCAGAGATATTAGTGTCTTGTGACATTTCCTACCTCTGCTAGAACTTGAAGGCAGGAACTCACTGCCGGAACTTTGAAATGGTTCATTCTCTTTACTGAACTCATAATAATGTCCTATGATATTTCAAATAATAAAAAATAACGCAATATTTTAATGCACCGCACCCTTACTTAGGTATCAGGTTAACTTATTTTTACTGTCCAGAAAGTTGTCTCTGGTTCAACGGTTTTTTGGTGACTACCTGACTGAGGTCGTATGCACACATACCTTACCTGCTCATGCAAACAAAATAGCCGGTGCATTAATGGGACAAAATTTCCCACATAAAAATAATACTAAATTTGGTGCAAGAACGGGATATGTTACACAAATCTTATCCCATTATTGCACCAGACCCTGGGGGATATGTGGTTTGCTATCATAATTCAGTATCTGTTAAGCATACGTATCCCATACTTGCACCAGGCAAGAAGAGCAACTTTTTAAACCTAAATATGCAGCTATCTCAATTTTGCAGATTTATGCACTTATCCCCTTCTTGCACCAGAGTCTTCAATTGTAATTAGTATTTTGCCATTATTGCATTATCACTTTTTTTTCTCATTCTTTTTTATTATTTTATTTTATTTTTATTTTTATTTTTTCTTAAAATTAACTTCAATTTGTAATTACTGTTTATGTTATTTACTACCAATTTATTTATTATTTATATTTATAGTATTTCCTCTAAGTGGGTTTAAGTACCTGTTGGAAATAAAGACTATTTATTTATTTATTTATTATTATTTATTTATTTACAAAATTCAATTACAAACAATTTCTTAAATGTAAATCTTAATAATTAATTATCATTATAAATCAATTAATATTATAATCTAGAATCTAGGGATAGACAAACGCAGAAACTTATAAAATATTATACAACTAAGATAACAGATTTTTCAATTTATTTATTTATATTTTTTTTATTTTTTTTTATTTTATTGTTTACAATTATGTTGAAGGTATTTTTTTCTTTTTTAGTTTTAACATTTACAATTATGTTGACAGTATTATCACATAAAAACTATACACACAATATCCTATCAGTTAGATTTCCAATAGGACATTGATAGAATAAACGCTAGGTCATATGTTATCAAGATTTTTTTTAAGAAGATTTTTAAAGCTATTAACGCTAATGTTGAAAATATCAACATCAAAATTTTCTAAAAACACATTAGCACACCTGCATGATCTGTCCATTGCTGAATTATATCCATAGTTAGTTCTGTGATATCTAACTGCAAATAGATTATTTTGTCTAGTATTCCTGACAGGTATATGAAAATTTATTCTACTCAGAAGCTTTGGAGACTCTATAATGTTGTTAATTATCTTAAATAATATGCACAAGTCGTAGTATTTTCTACGATTTTCAAGCTTTGTTAAATTGAGTAATGAATACAGCTGGTCATAATCGACAGAGTCTGCAGGAATGCTTAACTTATACGCTATAAAACGAAGAAACTTCTTCTGTACACGTTCAAGTCTATTTTTATGTATTTCATAGAATGGGGACCATATTGTACAGCCATACTCTAAAATTGATCTTACAATTGCAATATAAGCATTTCTCAATGCAAAAATGTTGGAAAAGTCTTTTAATAATCTTATAATAAAACCAAGCAGTTTCATGGCTCTGTTTGCTATAAACTCAATATGGTCCGTGAATGTTACTTCCCCATCTATGTAAACACCCAAATCTTTAATTATTGTCGGTCTCTACAGTTGAACATTGTCCAGCAAATAATCAAATAAAATTACATTCTTATTACGAGTGAAGGTTAAATTTTTACATTTGTTCACATTCAATAATAAGTTGTTAGATTTACACCAGTTGGAAAATTTATTAATTTGCCCTTGCAAGACGTGGCAATCTTCCAAGTTATGAATAACTCTAAAAAAATTTAAGTCGTCGGCCAGAAGAACGAACATACATGAATCCAATATTAAGGCAATGTCATTAATAAAGATTTTAAACAATAAAGGAGATAAGTGTCCTCCTTGTGGTACACCTGATGGGACAGAGAATTCGGTAGAGACAGAATTTTCAATTTTAATGGCTTGCCTTCTTCCAGTAAAATTACTCTGCAACCAAGAAAGCATAGACCCGTGTACACCCATACCTTCAAGCTAAGCCTCCCCAAAAAAATTGAAAATTAAATCTCAATATTTTATCCCTAATTCCTATTTAATATGTATTATAATTCACAAATTACACTTTCCAAAATTCGATATTTTAATATAATTTGGAACAATCTGACATTATTTCAAACAATTCCGCGCCTCCATAACAAAAATCTGTTCCTTGCCCGCAATTTTACCATTAGAAGTCGACCGGAGGCTTGACTCTCATATGCTTCCCTGAAATCTAGCATTCAAATGGACCGCGAATCTCAGCGACCAATAGAAATGCCGGAAACATGTCGAACCATTCCTGGCGTTCAGGCACCATCGGATCGCGGAGCGGCTAGCCGCAACCTTTGATTGCAAGGTTGGAAACAATGGAAACTGCCATCGTTGCTTTTTTATCTCTTTTTTATGCATTCGGAGTTCCATGTCACTTTTCTATTCGGAAGTCGTAGATTATTGATTGATATTTTTTGTCGTCAGATGCATTTCATATTATTGTGCAATTGTGTATCTTTCTTGGATTTTATATGTAGGTACCTATGTATTTTTTATTTTTCGTCAAAATTAATTTTTTAGCGTTAAAACGAATTAAAACTTACTCTCGAAGTACCATGTCCCAAAACAGACTAACTAACGTATCTTTTGTTTCAATTGAAAAAGAATTTGTATCCAAAAATGTGCGAAGATGGCCAGTTTTATGAAGAAGTACCTAATAGATTATTTAGCGAATAAAAAAAAACGACGAATTCCGCTCATTTTTAAAATTCAATAAACTACATTGATCACAACGAAAAAGGAACACTTCAGTAATTTATTATAATTTATTTATTGCATTATAAAGAAAAATTTCTGTTTTTCCAGCAGACACGCAATTCCATATGAAACCAATAAAGGCCCCCACACACTACGATGAAACATGACGGTTTTCATCGCCGCGATGAAACACGTCGTTCCAGAACTGAAGTGTGTGGTAGAAAACCGTCGTGTTTTTCTACCACACACTTCATTATTTATCCAATCTACATCAAAATTTGGGGAATATTTCGGAAAATATAATCTATTGACGAAGAAGGGTTCTTTAGTTTATCAGATAGTCTTAGAGCAGCAGATAGTCCTGAAGAAATTGATAGTTCACCTCTCAGGTTAATTACTCAGCATGCGAATACGGAAAATATATACTTATGATGTTTCTTTTCTTGAGCATTTATGGTTTTTATTGAATTTCAGATAAATTCTTGAGGACGTAGACACTCAAAAAAAAATTGCCTGCTGCCAGTGGTTACCGTAGTTCATTATTATTTTTAGCCTCCTCACTTGAAATAGTCACGAGCCGCCACTGACCAGAACAATATTTGATACACCGTTGATCTAAAAATACAATGACTGTTTCCATGTTTTAGTACAAATTTGAAAAGAACATTTCAATGCCCAAACTCCTAATCCTAATATTGTCTCAACATGGCAGAAAACCTTACAATTTACCAAAACGATCTTTTTGGTTGAATTTGCAGTCTCTTGTTCAATACAATATGTTAATTTTCTTTGTATAGGTACATATTTACTAGGTATTTCTTTTGTTACACCTTTATCAATCAAACATCAGTTTCTTATTCTATGGTCAGTTTTTCGTGACAATAAAAATTTCACATTACCTGGAAAATAATTCCAATGTTTTGCAATGTGTTAGCTCTCCAACGATATTGCTGAGTAATATTCGAAGGTAATATTGAAATGAGTGACATAGTGACGTCTTGGAATCCCTAAAACATCAAAATACTGGCAAAGCCGTCGGGCCCGATGGTGTTCCATCATTTATATTTAAAGGCATCCAAGAAATAATGTCTGAGCCTTCAAACTTACACATTTCCAGATGAATGGAATAGCTAAAGTGTGCTCAATTTTTAAAAAAGGAGATAAATCAGATTTCTTCAACTATCATCCAATCATAGCATCCAATTGTCGTGCTGTCAACGCCTGCGTCAAGATATTCGAATCAATTACTTATAACTTCAGGGTTTTTCGGAAAAGTGGGATCAAACTTCTAGGATAAAAGTTTCAACAAAATCGGATTTTCGAAAGAATATTTTAAACACACTCCTAAAATAATTTAAGAATCGCAGACAGGATGCTGATAGGTCTGTAGTTTGTTACATCATTCTTGCTGCCTGACTTGTAAATAGGACTAATGAGGACAACCATGAGCGAGCTTCCACATTTCTGGAAAAAAAAAACAGAAGTTGAGGATTTGGTAAACATAATAAATAGAGGGAGATACAAAGTGTTACAAGATTTTAGTACTTTGTTACGAATACCATCAGGTCTTGCAGACTTGTTGATGTCCACTTGTGTTAAAGCCTTCTTAATTCTGCTGTGTCTATGACAATGCTTGAAACATTCTCAAATCGATCAGCAATCAGAAACATTTCCTTAGGAATAGTAAGTACCCTGATTGAATTGAGATAAAGTTCCAGAAAACCTTCACATTAGTGCCTATTTTTTACAATGTGTTAGCTCTCCAAGGATATTGCTGAGTAATATTGAAATGAGTGATGGAAAGCTGTCGGGCCTGATGGTATTCCATTATTTATATTTAAAGGCCTCCAGGAAATAATGTTTGAACCTTGAAACTAACACATTTCCAGATGAATGGAAAAGCTAAACTGTGTCCAATTTTTAAAAAAAGATCAGATATCTCCAACCGAGTCTCTAACTATAATCCAATTGCCGTGCTGTCAACGCCTGCTAAGATGTTCGAATCAATTACTTATAAATATATTTATCCATCATTGCATTGCAGCATACCATATCAATGATTCTTAATGTTTTTTTTTTTTTTTTCATTCAGTTGGAAAGGTGTGATGCTAGAACCCAACTAGAATCGCAAGCCTACGTAGCTTGGATCCATGGTTCTTTACAGTTTGAGCTTGAGCTGTGGGTCAAGGCCACTGAGAACTTAAAAAAGGCCCAAGTAAGCATTTAATTTTAAAAAAAAAAACACACACACAATGTCAATGATTGAAATCTATCTTCTTGAAGGTTATTTATGAAAAACTTGCTTCAACCCTTTCCGAAGACGAACAATTACCCTACCGACAAAGGGTAGAAGAAATAGCTCCCAGCCTGCGTTATTGTGCTTACAATATTGGAGATGAGAAAGCTGTTAATTTATTAGAGCTACGAAGTCAAGGTAGAAAACCTACACACAATAATTTATTTACTAATAATTTTTTGCAGGTGTTTTAGAAACGTTTGATGCTTTAGTCTCGCAAACAAAAGAAAAAACTGCCGCAGTTTTACACGAAGTCACTTGGTTCGGCTTGAACGTTCCCATAAAAATCGAAAAAGTGCGTCTATTTTTGCTCAGCATCGAAGCCCTAGATGATTCATTGAAAAATGCCGAAGACAATCAAGCCAAAATAAAAATACTCGAAAATCTGTTTATCGATTTGCGCGACGTGATCACTTTGACTAGGGAAAGTGCCCGTACCGACAAGCAGGATCAGCTGCTATTGGCCTATTTGTTGTCTATTAGAATCGAGCGCACTTCGCAAAGGAATTTGTTGCTGTTGCAGCAAACTAAAAAGTCACAAGACTGTGTCAGGTAAAAATAAACTAATCAAATCAAAAATAGATAATCTTGATTTTTTTTTCTTAGATTACTGGACATAAACATCCAACAAACAAGCGAGTTGTCTCAAAACGAGTCAATCAAAAACAACAAAGTGGCTCAAAAGCATTTCGAAAATCACTTGTTAGCCTACAAGGCCATAAGGTCCTATTACCTAGCGAAAACTCACGCAGCTGCAAAACGTTGGAAGGAAGCTGCAATTTTATTCGACTGCGCACATGAAGCTGTTAAAAACCTTAAAATCGACAACTACATAGCGGAACTGGCCCAATATTTGACAACAGTCAAGCAAACAGCCGAAATTGAAGTTGTCAATTCCAAAGCCAACTATATTTTAGACAGTCAAGAAGACCAAACCATCATTGTGCCGCAGAAAGTGGTGAAATCCAAGAAGCCGCTCATTGAGAGGCTGGACGAGTTCAGAGAAGAACCACAACTCTTGTCCAAAAATCCCAATTTGGTATCGTTGCCGCCTAGTATGGAACCGGTGCCAGCTAAGCCGCTGTTCTTCGATTTGGCTAATAATCTAATCGAATTTCCGGATCTTACTGAAAAGCTGGAAGGCCAAACCAAGACCAAACAGGCCGCCGGGATTTCTGGATTCGTTAAAGGCTTATGGGGATGGGGGTCCAAGAAATAGATTTTGTTTTTTTGAATTTATAAGATAGGAGGGGGTTGTTTTTTTTTATTATTATTATGTATCAAATTGCTCATAATATAATATATTAGACAAATTCTGTGTTTGTTTTACCCGTTTGCTTTGATAAAGAGATGTTATAATTCTTATATCAATAAAGCTATTTTTGACTTTGACTTTAAGTGTACAAAAATAGTATATTTCCTAATTATTGCGAAAAGTGCCACTTTTCCGCACACGATTTCAATTGGCCAGGCAAACAAGATAGGAAAAAAGACTTTCCAAGCCAGCAGTTTCACGTCAAATAGTCGTTTTATAAAAACTTAGCGATTGTACCTGTTATCCGATACCCGGAGCTGTCAGATACCTACTTCAAGAAAAATATTCTAAATTGTGCTTGAAGTTATTATAAGTACTTGAAGTATTTTTGAAATTAGGTAAAGTACAGTGGATAAACGGTACCTATACTTGGTACTTGAACTATTTTTAGCAATTTACAATCATTTTACTTGATCTCATCAAGTACATGGACTTGAAATATATTGGAAAGTACTTCAAACACATATAAGTACATACTTGTGTACATCAGAAGTACTACAAAAACAATGAAAGTATTGCAAGTACTTCAAAAGTGTACTTGAAGTACTTTATTTTTTTTAATATTAAAAGCAGGTAACACGCACATTAGAGGGTTGTTGGTTAATTTTTGACTAGGTTCCAAGAAAAATAATAAATGAAAAAATTGTCATGTTCTATATATTTATAAAAAAGACCTATTACCTATAATGTATTTGATGTATGTACAAGTACTTGAAATACTTTAAGTTAAGAAATCTGAAAACTTCCAGTACTTTTAATAAGTACTATGTAGTTGGAGTTCATTTGAGAAAAATATGTATTTTGTACTTCAATTACTTCTATAAAACTTGAATACTTATTTGTTGTACCCCGTACCCCAAGTACTATAGTAATGTACACTTGTAGTGACAGGTGACAGCTCTGCCGATACCTTCTTTGAATTCGATACGAGTAAAAGTATCGTAATGTTGGTATCAATACTAAGATACTTGATATCGAAACCAGAATATCGATAGTCTCCCATATCCTTATTTACCCCTCGTTTTTTGTCTAACGTGACTTCACCGATGAGTTAGCTATCTTTGCTTAGTGAATGGAAAATGACAATGACGGACATAGAATGGTGGATCCAATGAAGGTGGATCCTTCGGTTAAATTTGATGAGAAAAAACGCCGGTGTCGGATTCTATTTACGAGTCGATTCGAAATTCGTATCGAATTGTCAAAATAGCGATTTTATTTTTCGATACGTATTTACACGGTACGTCCGGAGCTGTCGTATTCGATATCGAGTGTGATCAAGGATGGAGTGTGATAACGGACAATTCGATTCGACTCGTAATTCTTTAGGCGATTTCGGCAAGCTTTGGTACCCTGTTTGGTCTGTCAAATGCATACCAACCAATTTCGGATACGAAAATGATATCGTCACCTTGACTTTAGTTGAGTTCGGAACAGTGGCGGTTCGTCTATATGGGCAAGGTGGGCACCGCCACCCTGGAGAGAAAATGCTTCGGAGTAGGATTATCTTTGCTTTAATACAATATTTGAAAAGGCCACGACCTTGAAAATCTAAACAAAAATGCCCATGGCTGTTTTTTTATTTTTGTCGCCCACCCCTACTTGGACACCACGAGCCGCCACTGGTTCGGAATGGGATTTTCGTGCAGTGTTAGTGCGGTGTTCGTGTAGTGCAGTGTTATATCACGTGATGAAGGTGTAATCGGCGGTGTACACCGAATACACTATCATTTTGTACCGAGTAAACGGTGTCCCACCATCTTCACACCATTATCGGACACCAAACTATTTCCAAACGCAAAAAAAGTGTACACCAAACACTCCTGTCAGTTAAAAACGCTATAGTGTCAATAATGTAAAAAGTGTCGACACTTTCTACCATTCTGAACTCACCTGTAGGTATCCTTTTTGGTCTGTCAAATAATAGGATACCGTGGTCAGCAGCACGGTTCTTCTCATTTAGTATAGTGCTATCTACGTCTATTTTCGTTTTGTCTTGCTCTGGGAAATGTAAATAAATGGAATATTGATTAGAATTTGAATAATTTGAAATTTTTAACAAATATGTCTGTTTTTTCGCCTTCATCTTCCCGTTTTCTCGTATTTTCTGACTGCCAAATATTGTTTAACAATCATTTGAAAAATAGCTTTGAACGACAGATATAGGGGTAACTTTTTTGCTGAATGAATTATGGAATAAGCTTTACATTTACAGAAAACGCTGAGTTAAGCCGCTTTCCAGCTGACGCTTTTGAGCACGAAATCGAGCTTTTGCGCGCGCAAATGCTTCAAGCGCGTGTTCGTGTTCCAGCCGTACTGCGCTTCGAAAGCTGCTAACTTTTGCGTTTCAAACACAGAACACTGTGCTGCACCGTGCTTGAAGCACACAGCTGGAAAGCGGCTTTAGCTAATAGGTTACTCAAAGGTACCATCGTCACCAAAAGTAACTGGGACAGCATCACATTAGCTCTTGTCTTATTATATGAACTTTGTTTGAAAGTTTTTTCAGGTAATGACCAACGTGCAAATCAGGGACGAGAGTCCCTGTTTGGGAATCGACCCACTGAGTAGTGGACCCCGCATTCCCGTGCCAATCCTTGACGCGTTTCGTCCTTGTTAGGACTCATCAGAAGGACATAGGCTGAAGCTCCCTGTTCAAGCAAAATTGAACTTCGTTGACCAATCAGAAACAACTACTCCGAGGGCAAATACCCCTCCCGGCATTGAACTACACTGATTGGTCTGAGCTTTCGTTGGCAATGAAAATTGTTTGAAAGTTTTTTCAGGTAATGACCAACGTGCAAATCAGGGACGAAAGTCAATATTGCTTGAACAGGGAGCTTCAGCCTATGTCCTTCTGATGAGTCCTAACAAGGACGAAACGCGTCAAGGATTGGCACGGGAATGCGGGGTCCACTACTCAGTGGGTCGATTCCCAAACAGGGACTCTCGTCCCTGATTTGCACGTTGGTCATTACCTGAAAATACTTTCAAACAATTTTCATTGCCAACGAAAGCTCAGACCAATCAGTGTAGTTCAATGCCGGGAGGGGTATTTGGCCTCGGAGTAGTTGTTCCTGATTGGTCAACGAAGTTCTATATGAATTTTATTGTCAAATATTTGTCAAACTATGCATTAAATGCATTGAAATGAATGACAGTAGAATTAGTCCAGGAGATTATTATGCATTATTTGTGTCCCAGATACTTTTGGTGACGATGGTACTGTCTGGACAGTGCTGATTCGTGATTATAGATTTTAGTCAGTGCAGTCACTCCCAAAACTCGAAGAACAACAAAAAGTTAGGTTAGGGCTCGTCTAGTTGTTTCTTCCTCTCTCTCATGACCATTAACGAATTCGGAACAAAATGGTGTCTTGCGTCTTTTCTATGACGTTGCAGGTACCAATTGGTTAACCAAACGGTATACCAACCAAAGCTTGCCGAAATCGCCTTTTTTTTTGACATCGACGTCAAATGGTGGTTTCGTATCGATAATCGATATGCATCTTTATTGAGAGCGTATCGATGTGCCCGTGTACCCTCCTCTCTAATCTAAAATCTAGTAGGCGGTAGGCGTATCGGATGCGCATATGTGTACAATATAAATATGTATATTTTATATTGTTGTTTATTTCATTATTTGTTGAACAATACATAATATAACTATTTAATTATCGTGTTTTAAGATTTAAACAATTTCTATAATTGCAATCAATGTGTTTAAAATGAGTGCCAGCATGCAGCATAGCAGAAATCGATCAAGGTAAACCAACCCCTCTATTTATGATGCTCCATCCCACAACAATGTATTTTGCTAGTTATGCATACTATGAGAAGTAATATTTTCCATAGGTGGAATACAAAAATCAACTTTCCCTGTAATATTGATATTACTATCATAATTATTGTCCCAGTCCCAGTAGGCGATTTTTACGAATGAAAATGCTGTTGCACATGCACAAGTTTAAATTTGAGTTTTTTGTTTGTTTGTTATCGTAGGTAGAAAAATTTTGGTTTAATCGTTCAGGCAGGCACTACTTTGGCAGTCATTACTCTGCTCATCATTATTTGTCAGCAACACAATCACACACTTATGTGCCGGTATCCCAGTTCTGCAAGCAGATAGCAAGCCAGTGTGGTAAAGGTAAATAATCTGTACACACTTTCACAAATAGTGAACCAAAGTGGTACTTAATATTCTGCAGGTCCTCGTCTACTTTGTTTTTGAAAACATTTATGGAGGAGGTGGTAACAGTTTCCTCTCTTGGCGAGTTCCACCAAAGGATTAGATATGAAGTTTCTTCTGGGAATTTCAGTACACTTCTCCTTTGACAATTTAAAACTATGGCCACGGCCACACAAGTTTGCATTGTCTCTGATCTGATAAATGTTAAGGTCATGTGCCTAGTACCCATTTAAGCTTTTAAAAGTCTCTATAAGGTCCCCTATCAGTCTTCTTTCTTTCAACTTTGGAAAATTGGATATTTGCAATGTTCTTCATATGGCAAGTGTTTAGTTTCTGGGATAGGACTTTTATAGCTCGTCTTTGATTTCTTTCAAAAAGCTTTATATTCTTTGTGAGATAGGTGGGGTTCCACATGTTATGCACATATTTAAGGATTGGTCTCACATGGGACTTATGGTCGTTTCCACCAACTATACTCCTGGACAAAATTATCACACCACTGCTTATGGTGGTGCTTATGTGCAGTGGTACGATAATTTTGTCCAGGAGTATATTTTAGGGGAGCCTTAACGATAAGTTTTCCTTAAAATGACACTCTCTCTGCCATGGAAAATGTCAGTTTAGGACATACTTATCGTTAAGGCTTCCATGCTAGACAGGCTCCACACAGCGATAAGCATAGCAGATAAAAACTATACACCCCTCAACCTATTCCAAACAACACATCCAATAGACATATACAATGACACGCAATTGCAACAGGGGAAAATGAACACCTGGTCAGAAAAGATTCTGCATGGACAGCACAGATATCACATGAAACAAGATTATATTGATCAAAAATCATCAAACACGGTTAGAGGATGGTCAGCTCTTTCCCGAAATGGGAGGATTTCTGCTCGCGATTTAAGATATGGTCATAGCGACCAGAAATTATCAGAAATATATTATCAAAGACCTGGCTACAGCAGATGATACATGCAGGAAATGTCACCTCCAAAAGGAAACAATTGAGCATTTTACAAGTGGTTGCAAGTCCCTACCTGGCTCAGAATACACAGCAAGACATAGCACAGCAGCAAAAGTAATCCACACTGGCCACAGCATTCAAACTAATAGAAAACACAGAGCCCACAAATACACTCCATCGTCTATACTCGAAAGCAAGGATTTCAAATTATACTGGGATATCAATATTCAGACAGATAATACAATATCTGCCAATAGACCAGATATCACCTTTCAGTTGAAAAGAGCAAAAATCACATACCTTATAGCTATTCCCAGTGATAAAAACGTCCAGACAAAGTACAATGAAAAAATCTGTAAATACACAGACCTAGCCATCAAAATGAAGAAACTCTGGAAGCAGGAAAAAGTTACTATTATCGCCCTCCCCTGATTATGTCAGTAACAGGCCTCACACCCAAAACATTCAAATCACACCTGAAACAGCTAGGACTCAACACTAACATACACAAAAACTTTCAGAAATCAGTCATCTTAAAAACATGCCAGTTTGTCAGATCATTGTTCAATTCAATTTAATAATAATAGTATTTGCAGTGACTTGGCATAGCCCGTCACAGCAACATTAAAGCACAATTCTGTTAGAAAATTTCAATTTCAATAATAATAATAATAATAATAATTTACTCAATATCTAAAACATCTGCAGCTAGATACAATCATACATGAGTCATGAGTACATACCGAAAGCCATAATACAAAAAACATGCAATATAGCCCGAACTTTCTTCAAGTAAGTAGTAATTTCACTAGGTACCCACCGGCCTGCCTAGGGAGAAACCGGTTGAATCCGAGAAAACATTTGAATAATGATAATAATAATATTGTCACGTTTAGGTGTTTTATGGTCAGCAATGCCACCACTTTATCTACACGTGCCTGCATCGGCTAAAGGTTTATCCTGAAAAGAGGTTATGGGCGGAAAGGAAAGATTTCACCACTAGTAGTTAATACATCTATTGTTACACCTTAACTTATATAGGAGATGATTAAATAGGGTTTACCAAAAGTAGATAGCAGTAAATGTTCTTCCCTCTGGATGGCCATCATATAACATTCCTCTGGAATGCCCGTTTTTAGGCAAAGCTCTACTCTGTCAATAGTACTCAAATAGCCCTATGAAACTGTAGCAAGTCACACTCAACTTGGTGAGAAAGTTTTTTGGCCTGTACCCTCGAGGAGCCCAAGGCTGTAGAGACTACTAACCTCTGCCTGTCTGCATTGCAGTGCGCGTAATTTATACAAGAATTATTGCTACTGTCAGTTAATTTTCTGTAGTACAAGTGCCAAATTTATTTTATCTTTATAGTCTGTGGGCTTGTAGATATTTATGAGTTGACATTCGCCCCCCCCCCCCCACCCCTGTGAAAGCATTGTTCCCGATGCCAGTCAAAGAACATCATATGCTTACAATTTAAAAAACTTGAAAATTCTTAAAACTACAGCTTCTTCTTCATTCGGCTTCGTCGACTGGTTTGGTCTGTTGTGGTATGTAAATTACTGGATTCTGTGTGTGTCTACTTGCTTGTGGGCAATAATGACTTGTTGGAAGTGGTAGTACTTTATTGGCTGTCCCACTGGATTGTGGGTAGTTGTGGTGACTTGTAGACTGTTCTATTGGTTTTATGGGCTGTCCCGCTGGTTCGTGAACAGTCCCATGGTTTGTTGAATTGTCCCACTGGCTTGTGGACAGTCGTATGGCTTAAAGACATAGTGGCCTATGAGTTGTCCCACTGGTTGGTGAGCAGTCCTATAGTTTGTTCAATTGTCTCACTGGCTTGTGGACAATCGTCGTGGCATGTCTACATAGTGTCCTACTGGTTTATGAACTGTCACAAAAATAAAATAAAACAGAAATTTTATTTACGCCATCAGCAATTTACAATAATAATAATAACAACAATAATATTCACCAGTAAAGTTCTCTATCACTATTTAGTATTTACTATAAAATAAAAAAGCTATTAGTGATCAGGTAACCTAGCTCAGTTTACAAATACAAAACAAGGATACTAAAATGGCGACAAACATACACTCAGCTTACAAAAATTTAAAATTAACAATCAAAAATTTAAATGGACAAATAGTCACAAAATATACACAGCAATTTAAAATCTATTAAAGTGTGTTTTTTTTTAAGATAAAGGTCAAAATGACATTATGTTGGCAATACAATGTAAAATTGTCAACGCTTCCAAATTTTTTATGCAGAAAAGGCTTGTGGTGCCAACATGGTTACTAAATTTTTGACTTGGGGAATTATCTTTAAAAAAAAAACAGACTTTAGGTATATCACAATTGTAACCATAAAGTAAATATATTAATTATCACAGTCGCAAAAGTACATATCATCATTTTAAAATTAGGAACATTTGGAACATTTAAAATTTAAAATTGGCTAGACAATGATTATGATAGGTTTGTTAACTCAGTCCGTTTTTAAAATTAGGTTAACATTTCCTATTAAAATTAGATATACAACATATGACAGTTGAAAATTGTGAATAAAGGTGACTAAACATATAATACTTTTTTTGTCTTGACACTTAACTCAGCATGGGAATCATGAAATATATCTAAGATCCGTTTCTCGATGGTTCATACTTGTGACCGATCAGGCATGACAAGCGAAGGCTTAACGCAGGGAGGGGTCAAGAATGGACTTTCTTGCTGTGTTCTTAGTACACCATTCAACAATGTGGAACAGGTTTTTGTTATGGTGTCTTTTGGACATCGTAGAATTCTGATTGGAAACGCATATATTCCTGGTGTTTCAAATGTAAATGTTTATGAGAATTTCTGTCTATCTGTGATGCATTTGGTTGACGAGACTGACTTCACAGATATTTTCTTGTGGGGTGATTTCAATTTTCCTAAAATCTCGTGGATTAATAATGGGAATGGGACAACGCCATATAGAGTTCTGACACCTATTCACAAAATACCCATCCAAGCCAAGCTTACTAGATGCGACACTACTGTCCAAGAATGTCTCGATTCACAATATGATATCGTAGTCTTCAACAGACAAATTGCACATCAGAATCTGAAGCTTTGATTTCAGACCTGTCACATTTTGATAGTAAAAACTTAGTGATTTGTCTCCACTATCTGCGGATTGTGAAAATTTCCCCCATTATTCCTATTCTGTGGCACATTTTTCCTTGTTCTATTACGGTTGGTAAATGGCCTAAAAATCACATTCTTCCTTGTTCTATTACGGTTGGTAAATGGCCTAAAAATCACATTCTTCGGCCTAAAATCGTAAATAGTGTCATACAAGCTCTCACATATCCCAACCTTGAAGCATTTAGAGTTGGCTAGCTTTTTGGTAACTCTTCAAATGCTAGCAATTTGTCATCTGAAATATTAGCAGTGCTTTTGATATGGTCATAGACAGCCTGCCTCATTGCCTCAATAATGACACGTCCCAAAAAGAGCCATGCGAACCCCGTCTTCTGCATATTAGTATTTGCAATGTTGTTAAAACTGCGCTTAATATCATTCTCAGGACTACTTTCTATATATTTTGGTAAATACTCTGCAATATCGCCCCATTAACTGCACTTCGCATCTGAGAATTTGTGATAACTTGCTTGTTTGTGTTTGCCTGTGAGTTCAGTTCTTTACATACTTTAGTGGTTGTCCACATACATTTAATTCTATTTATTTTATTTTAGTTTTTTATTTTATTATTCTTGAGTAGTTTTATATGCATCTTAATTTGTGACTGTGCTGACACAAATATAACTATTATATTATAGGACTCCAGATGACTATTCCAGAAGAAGTTTATTGAGTAAAGTAGACAGAAGACACCTCCAAAGATTGCGCGTCGCAATCAAAAGGTCTGGCTTGGGCCCAGAAGGACCTGGGTTACCCTTGGAACGAGAAATTGAAGACTACAAACAAATAAGTTTACTTGTCCACGTTCGAAGAGGTCCAGGTCCGCAGCCTAGGGTGCCAATTTTCAGTGGCAACATAAAGGTCAATCAAGACCTTTGCGAGGACAGAACTGTTTTTACGCACGATAGAAACAAAAGGAGGTCTAGATCTAGAAGTAGGAGCAGAAGCTACAATGATAATAGACGTAGCAGAAGCAAGGATAGGTATAGGAGGAGAAGTAAGGAAAGAGCTAGGGATAGAAGCAGAAGTCGGTAAGAGTTTGTTCAATTATTACCTAATTTATTTTTCTAAAAAAAACTTTCATAGGTCTAGACGCAAAAGTAAGAGCAGCGACAGATCCAAAAGATACAGAGATAGAGATTATTCGCCTGAAAAATCAAGAAGATCTAGATCTAGATCTAGATCTAGAAGGTCTAGAACTAAAAGACCCACTCAGCATAAAGAAAGATCTTTAACTCCATTGAGGCCTGGAGAATATCGTCCCGGCCATCCAGATTTGGCTTTGAGGAAGCGGAAAAAACTGTCTAGGTCTCGGTCCAGGTCTAGAAGTAGAAGTACAACTAGAAGTAGAAGCAGAAGTAGAAGTCCCAAATATTCTACTAGCAGAGAAAGAAGCACAAAACATAAGTAAAAATAAAACGCAAAAGAGTGATAGTTTTTGAATAAATAATTTTTTTATAGGTCTTCAACAGCGCCAGTACCAATTATGGAATATGATTATTATGGGGTAAAATATAAAAATCAAATTTTTTTTTTTTTTCAAATTAAAATATTTTTTTTATTAGAATTATGGTCCTATGCCTATGAATCCTATGGCACCATACAGACAAGTAACTCCAGGTTGCTATCCTCCGATGTATGCTCCGCCAATGATGATGCAGCGTATGCCGATGCCAGGTTATCCTCATCCGCGAATGCCGATGTTCAGACAGCGTCTTCCCATTTACAACAGCAGGAAATCGACTAATGTCACGATTACCACTCAAGAAGTGGAAAAAGCGAGTGAGGGTATTGTGGAAGAGGTCAGTGAAAAACCTAAAGGGGCAAATTCCATGGAAATCACTTCTAGTAATCAGCAATGCGAATCTGATGCGGGAGCTTCAGGTAACTGTGCTTCTGATGCTGTTAGGGTGTGACATGTTTTTGTTTTTTATTGAACTGGAGTAATCTGTCTTCACTCTTTATAAAAAATATATTTTTTTATAAAATAAGACATGTTTTACTCCAGCTCATTAACTATTTTCTTCCCTGTGCGATATGGAATATTATTTTTCATTTTTGTTGTGTAAGTTTATTAGGATTTCTATAGTTTAGTTTACTCTGTAAATAGTTTATTGAATATTATATTTGATTTATGCCTTTTGCCTAGACCCTGAAAGCTCTTCAGAGTTTTCTTTAAGAAAAAAATCTTTGTTTCTTTAATTTTTTTTTTTAAGAGAAGAAAATAATTTTTCTTTTAAATTTTTGACTCTTATTAATTTGTTTCTTGAGAAATACAATATTTATTTAGATGCGTTCATTTTCATTTAGAGACTCTCCCAATTTTTTAATTAGGTAATTTATTTGTAGCAATTTTGTACCAAACACTCCTGGAAAATTGAAGGACCCCCCCACATTTCTTACGGAAAAGTGATTTATGTGGAATTTTGCTGAATTTTTGATATTGTGTATATGGAGTCGTCCTTAACAAAAGTTATTATTGCGCTAATGTTTAATACCGAACAGTTTTTAAGATATCAATTAAAAAGTTTTTTAATGTAATACACTTGGCCAATCATAAAACTGGTATGCATTGCCCTATTGTGTTGTATTGTGTAAATCGACCTTTTTTATCATCTCAAAAATGACAAAAAGAGTAGGCCTTTTCGGAAACACTGATCCGATTAACTCAATCACCAGCTGTTTGTCTTTCATCTTCCTTCATTGAATATGAATGAAAAAAGAAAAAGAATATCAGCGATCAGCGTTTCCGAAAAGGCCTTATCAGTGGCAGTGTCATATTTGAACCAAACATAGGCCGAGTTCGTTTTTGTCATCTTTTTCGCCGATTTGCTCTGAAACTTTGACAGGCACGTGATTTGTAAACTGAAACTGTCTTATCCAGTCACGTGCCTGTCAAAATTTCGGAGCATATCGATGAAAAAGATGACAAAAACGAACTCGGTCATATTAACATAAAAACATGTTGGATTTACTTTTGTTCAGCTTTGACATTGACAAAAACTGTCTGACCTAAGATTTCAGCACTTTTTGTTGTTAAGCCTGACTCACACCTCACACTAGGCAAATTTTAAAATATATATTGCCTGTACCTGTACCAGTTTTATGTTTGGCCAAGTGTTCTCTTCAGTATGACGTCACCAGTATGCTCACAGCACCGGAAATTATCACTATCTTTTCTACTTTTGACTTTGACTATGACTATACTCTTCGCTTATGTTCCGATATCAACTGTCAGTACTGAATTTACTGGACGCCGATATTATTTTCAGTACCTACACTGGATCCAGTCGATTTAGTACTGAATGACCACAAGAGTACGCTGTTGAAATCGGAACGGCAAATGACAGTAAAATCAGCACAGTAAATTCAGTACTGGCAGTTGATATCGGACCATAGACTTTTCTCCTCTTAACTTAACATCAACATCTTTGTCAGTATCAATGAACTATAACCAAAAACTGGAATGCTAACACATAAGGACGAACTTGAAGCCTAGTGCGGCTGCTGCGGAGGGCATACCTGTTTTTGTCGCACTCATTATGTTAAATGGCGAAAAATGCTTCCAACACGTATTCCAATTGATGAAACCTGTGAAGGGAGATATGACAAAACTTTCGAAAACGTCATAGGTCAGTGAGCAACAGAAAAAAACAACATTCCCCTTTGTGGCATCTGTCTTTCATGGCTACATTTTTTTGGCAGATATGGCAATGTGTGCGCATTCCAGTTTTTAGCTATAGTTCATTGGTCAGTATTATGGAAATAACAATAAATTCAATATGGCGTCGCGGCCAAGCAAGTTTATTTTGAATATGTTTTTATGCGTATTTTAAATTATTTTGCTTAGAGTTTTGCTTGAAACTTTGACTTTGAAACTTGAAACCGGCAAGTTGTAAACAAAAACAGGTTCCTAAAGTTAATAGGTTGTCTGGTAATGGTAAACAGATGACGTCACCAAGATGATTTAATGGAAATTGGCATTATGTTTAGGCATCCAGATAACGTCATAAAAGTTATCAGGCAACCTACCTTTTTCAAACAACCTTGCAACAAACCAACATATGATTTTACATAACCTAAAAAAAGTTTGGGGAATCCCAAGGAGGAATTCGAGCCCATTAGTTGTATTCCTTTCACACCTAGGAGGAGCTCCGGAACAGCACCGGGGCTTTACGCACTTATTCCTTTCGTAAAAGTGTTTGTTGCACCTGAGGTGCTCAAGCCCGAATCAAACCATTTATACTAATGCATCCGTTCCTTTCAAATCGGGGTCGACTAACACCGGAGCGAGTAGCTCTAGTTTTCTAAACTCTTGAAAGGAATGCAACTATTGTAGTGTGCGTGTTTGACAGCACCAGAAAAATTCTCATGCGCACTGAAACGACAAATGGAAAACGAGAGTGTAAAGCCGAATTAAATGAAAAATATCTTCATCTTTTTTTTTCTTTAACTGAAGGCACATGAAAGAATTTGCAAAGTTTTTCGATATCATTAACCCTTTTCACGTGGCTCCGGTTTAACAAACCTCATCATACCGCTCAAATTCGAGTGGAAGGTATCCATCACGTCCCTTTGTAACCGGGTTAGGAAACGGTATGTCATTTCTCTAACCGTTTTGTAACCCAGTTAGTTTAAACTGGAGCCACGTGGAAGGAGCTAGTGTAAATATAATATTTTTTTTATTGCTAACATAATAATAATGCCATTTTGACTTTTATCTTAAAAAAAAAAACAGATTTTACGTAAAGTTCATAGGTTGCCTGGTAATGAGTAACCTGAGCCGCTTTCGGGTGCAGAGTGCAAAGCTCCTGGAACACTTCACACCTGTCATTCTCCATGCGTTTTGCACTCGAACGCTTGATACCGAACGGGTCAAACTGTTGCTGGAGTACTTCTGAGTAACTCGGGAGCGCTCAAAAAGTGGCACCCGAAAGCAGCTCTGATAACGCGTGGGTGCCTTATGGAGATTTACATTATGCTGAGGCAGCTTGGCTTGGATGACGTCATAAAAGGTCCCCCTTACGCAGAGCTGGGCAGGGCTTGAGTGCTTTGTGCTTGCGAAAGTGCTTGAAGCACTTTGAGGACTTGAAAGCCCTGTGCTTCAAGCCCTTTTATAGATTTGTAATAGGGCTTGCAAAGTCAATTACTTTAGAAAAGTGCTTGGTAATTTGTAATTGAAAAAAGTAATTCAAGCCCTTTCAATGAGCTTCAATTACTTTTAGAGGGCTTGAAGCACTTTTGGGAGCTTGAAGCCCTTTGAAAGGGCTTGAAGCACTTTAAGAGGGCTTGAAGCACTTTTGGGAGCTTGAAACACTTTGAAAAGGCTTGAAGCACTTTAAAAGGGCTTGAAGCACTTTGAAAGGAATTTGAATTGACCATCATTCAACCTATCCCCCACTTAAAAATTTTCGATCGTATTTTGTCCTTTAATTTTCTTTTCTATTATTTGAACTTGAACCGTCTTATGTCTTTTCTCTCTTAACAATGGAGGTTTTGGGTTTGAGCTTAGAATGGAATTAAAAAAAAAAATGAACGAACTTATTATTCAAATAAATAATTAATTTATATTGGTATCCTATTTCACTTTATCACTGGATTTTTTTTCACTTTTCCCCAGTGAAAATTTTGAAAACCTTAAAATTGAATTACCATGTAGTATCCCAACTACCCCAAGTACCCCAAAACTACATCTCAAAAAAAAAACATACTACTGCTACTCTGTGAAATGTAAAGTTCGTCTCTACTATACCAATTCTGTGTGATGAGTGTACGCGGTAGCTTATGCCACTTTGAGAATTTTATTACAAATTCAAAGTGCTTTAGGCACATTCAAAGAGCTTCAAGCATATTTAAAGAGCTTGAAACACATTTAAAGAGCTTGAAGCCCTTTTCAAGGCACCCCAAGCACTTTTGATGTGCTTCAAGCACTTTTCAAATCACTTTGAGGGCTTTGTGCTTGTCAAGCCCAAAGCACTTTGAGGGCTTTGTGCTTGTGAAGCACTTTTGAAAATAAAAAGGAATTTGTGCTTGAAATTGAAGCACTTTGATAGAGGGCTAGGGCTTAGTGCTTCAAGCCCTTTTACTGAGGGCTTTGCCCAGCTCTGCACGTAACCGAACCTATTTTCCATGATGAGACAAATAAACAATCAATTTTAACATTTTAATTATTAGCTGGATAGTTTTAGCTATTTTTAACATATTTTCCCAAGCGAACTTAGCAGCAATAGCAGTACACAAAAGAAAATGAGGCTGTTTGAAAAATATCGATAAGAATAAAAAAGAAACTAGAAATCTCTGGTGGAAAGGCGGACCGGCGGACTACTGAACATATCCTTAAAAATTAAACAATAATCAGCTGATCCCTCAACCCATTTTGCACGAGTTAATTCGGCTTGACACGGTGTACTTTCTATGACGTCACGTTACTCCGTAATCGCTCCGCCGAGCGACAACCCAAACACGCCACTTGACGTGGGTAGAAAATTAATCTATCACTATCAGCTGTTTGATTTTTTTGAGCTACGTATATGTATTTTTAATGTTTGGTTTCCGTTCGGCTGTCCGCTGCGGGTGCCGGCTTTAGACCTCCCTTTTAGATCTCGTTTTCATTTTCCTTTTTGCCTATTATGTTAATCAAAATACACACCTACAAGGATTGCTTATCGGCCTCGTTTTTGGTAATCGCCGCCATATTGGTGTGTCACCGTTTCTGACGTAATAACTAAGTCGTCAGCTGTTTGCAGTAGTTTGCACTAGCGGTCCTATTTTGAAGGCCTGTGTGTAACAAATCCCCCGCTTGGCCAGACAACCACTTGTGACGTAAACAACATGGCGTTTCTCGCCTTGACGTACGCTGTTTAAACAGCTGACGACTTAGTTATGACGTCGGCAATGGTTGAAAACCAATATGGCGGCGATTACCAAAAACGAAGCCGATAAGCACTCCTTGTGAGTGTGTATTCTCCTTGCGAATTTATAGTCGTTCCTTGAATCTTTCTTGGAGGTCGTGAGTTTAGAATGGATACTTGTTCCTATTTGACAAGGTGGTCATATCAATTCTAAATGTTCAAGGCTTCCTTAAGGTCTGAGGAAACCTCAAGGAGGGACTGTAAATTCGGCCCTTAGAATGTTAATTAGTTGTAAGACC